ATATATATATATACCCCGCTCTCGGGCAAACCCTGATGGTCCATTCACACGAGTTCCATTTTCCACAAATGGAAACACCGCTTTCTTGCGGTCATTCTCAATACGGTCCCTCAGCCCAATGAGCCGGGGCAGTCCTATTGCTGCCCCTTTTGTTTGATTCATCAAAACCTAGTTGTCCTAGCTTCAACCCAAGTTTCCAGCGACCATGAGGGAAATCGATCGCCCAACAGGCAGGAAAATGAATGTGTCCTCGCTTCACCCTCCATCCCCATAAGCCCTATCCCGTTTCAAGACGACTTCATGTCATGCGGCCTCACACCGATGGTGTTCACGTGACCCCAGTACTCTTCACTTTGTGGAGTCACCTGGCATGGGCGGGGGTGGTGCACTTCAACAGCAAATGGTGCACTTCAACCTGGGGCCACAGCGGTCTCTGGAATCCATGGAGACGGAGACACCCGCAAATGTTGCGGGTGACCAGTGCGGATTCATATTACAACCATCACCATCCAGCATCATCCAACAGGTGCACTGGCCATGGCTCATTGCACGTGCTGTGCTTTCTTCAGGCTTGAGAGCCTGATGGCTTCCTGAATACTTAGCAGGGCCTCCAGCGATGAACCTGCCTTGTCCAACGAAAATAAATCGCTGGAGGGAAAGCGGAAGCAGACGTCCGTGCGTGATCATCCGTGTAACTACTATGTTAAGACAAGCTGGATTTCAGATCACAAATGGGTTACCCCTAGTGTTGTGTGATCACCTTCCACTCGTAGAGGTTCTCAGGCTGTTGCAGGATGATTCACGTCTGCAGAGGCGCCGGCTTCGTCGGTTACTCGATGGTCGCTTTGGAGTCTTTTGGAACATCGAATTCTAGGTGTTGAGCTGGTTAAACATGCCTTGCTTTATTTCATACCCCTGGACTCTGAGGTTTGACCTAGGTCGTCGTGTGGCCTGCGGCATCCCATCCTGCGGCAGACGCGTGTGGGATGCGGCGTCTCCGCCCATGTGACTCGCCGGTTCGCTACCACCTCTCAGCGTTTTCGCCAAGGATGGAGACCCGAAAGGTACCAAAAGGGCTCCCATTTCACTCGTCGGTCACCGAAGTCGGTTCATCGGGGGACATCGGATCCGATGGTTGAAGGCGATCCGATCACCGGAAAGAGAAGAACGTTGGGTGTCCAATGTGTCTAACACCTCTTTTTGTGGACATGCCAGGCATCCAAGATGGAGGGAATCATCAAGCTCCGAGCTCAGCCGCATCTCACTCTGTGGAACCCGTCACCCTTGTGGGGTCCAGGGGGGTCGGCGGTGACCTGCCCTTCTCCACCGGATCTCAGCCCTCGAGAGCCTCGGGATCTCCATAGATTTCGCTCGTCGAGGCTTGCAATATCCGTGCTTTCACTCTCTTGGCCAAGCCCATCATGTTGATCGTGCCCAACACGGAGACCTGCGAAGTGCGTTCTTCCGCGAGACCTGCGAAGTGTGTTCGTTTTTCACCTCCCAACGAAGCTGTGGCACATGTTTCTCCGCAGAGAAACGTGGTGGGAGGAGATGCGAAGCGGCGACTGGATCCTCCTCCTGGTTCACCCAGCCAAAGAGACTACTAGTAGCTTCTAGCTACTAGTAGCGATGCCCTTAGATACTAGTAGCTTCTTGCTACAACTGGATCCACTCCCGAATTTCGGGGTTAGGGGGCGGTGTTCTTTGCTTGAGCACGAACTCTCGCATGACGGCCGTGGGAGCGAGACGGAAGGACCACAATGGTCCCAAACATGGAATTGTCTATTGGAATGCTTGAATTCGATGGCAAACAATCAAGAACCAAGGGTGTCCATGACTCGCAAAATCATTCCAAAACTTGGGAGAGCTCTGAAGCCATGGGTGAACTCCTTGTCTTCTGAAAGAAGAACACCATGTGTGGTGGCGGATCATTCATGTCCACTTCTTCCATGGCCCATCTATGGATGAATTGTTTCGAAGTCTCTTGCATCGAATGAGCAGTCACTTGGCTATCAACACTTCGACTTCGACCAAATAAAGTAAACTGGGTCTCAAGGCTTGTCTGAGACGCACCAAGACTGACTCTGCCGCCTTCGTGGTCTTAATGGGATTCCATTGATAGTGGACCGGTGAGGCTGGACAGGCCATGTTGTAGACCATATCCTCAGGCCATCGACTCGGAGCCTCCAACGGCTTTGAGTCGCACAGTGGCACAGACTCCAACAGGTGGCATATCATCATCATCTAATATATACTGTCAGGAACCGCCTTGGACCACTAAGAACCTGTAAAGAACTTGGACCACTAAGGAACCTGGAAACAAAGCTCCACGAGAGCAGGGAAATGAGAAGAATGCCTTCGTCGCCTTCTTGCGAGATGGGTCCGAAAATGGAAGGCGTCAAAGGATTCGCAACCCCTCTGCCCTTCCCTCCACAATATGGCCAAAAGGAATCCTTCGAATGTTACAGTATAATATGTATGTAGACCTATAACATCCTAGAATCTAGAACTAACCTGAGTGACCTCTATTTTGTACTAGGGCTCGAAAAAGTATTATACATCTATATATATACAGTAACATACAAACAGTCATACAGTATATATATAATACATCATGATGCTTCTTTTCTCCCCAGGCCACGCATTCGCAATAGAAGGGCTCCGTGACATCGTGGCGGATGAACTCGAAGCGAGGATGGCCCATCAAATCCGCAATGCCTCCCGAGGCTCAGGGTGGGCCATGCGGACAGCGGGGCATGACCGGACCGTGGACACTGACAGGTCTGTGGATGTCTGTGGTGCCAAGGGATAGGTCGACCCGACCTCCCCGTTCGTTCGACGTTCGACCCACAGGAGCCAAAGTTGGTTCGACCGTCTGCCCATGTCGTCGAAAGCCATTCTCATGCAAAGCCATATCTTCAAACTCTCGCATGTCTTGACTTGGCAAGATCGAAGTGGTCTCTAAATAATCTGAAGGAACTCCACAAGATGTGAAAACCTCAAACCTCCATGGGTTGACTCCTCCCCCAGTGAACAAAACAAAAAATAGACAACTCTCAACAGGGCAAAAAACTCTCAAACCCATTAGATCCTCATGATCTGTCGTTTTTCACCCACTCTTCCACGAAAAACCTCTCCCCCGACCTCCTTTCCATCCCCCCCAAATCCAGCCCAAAAGCGGGCCAGCCCGGCCAGCGCTCGGTTTCCCTCCGTTTCCCCCGGTTCACTTCTCGGCCGCGCCGGAACGCGTGGAGGTGAAGAAGTTGTCCAAGCACATCACCTCGTGGCCCTCGGCCAGGAGCCGCCGGCAGATGTGGGAGCCTCGCCGAGGTGCGGCCGGACCGGGCCACCGCAGAGGGACGCAGGTTTGACACATGGAACCAAGGGGTTCCCCATGATTTGGGCGGTTTGGCACCCAACTAACTGTACAAAAACACTCACACACACATATATATATATATACACATGGATCTTAATTGAACTTAAACAAATGTCCAGGGAGCGCTGAAATGGCCTTGTGTCTGGAACTGTGAAATCCAGGTCGGGCAATTGCAGATACAAGATAATACAAACTGTTGCCACTCCCTTTCTTCACGAGACTGAACACAAGCGGAGGTCCGCTGGAAGAATTGGGCAAAGAACCGTTCTTATCTTTGTCTCTGGAGAAAGGCACCCCACGAACCCAGCAAAAAGATCACTTCCCCGCCTAAAAAGCCTGCACCCCCGGTCACGAGGATGCGCTTGAACTGTGCATCTTTGTCCTGCAAATGAAGATTTTTGAAGATCAAAAACCGATCTTCCAGTCAAATTCCTGGTTGCAATCTTGAATTTCAACCAGGTTGCCTGGTGTAATTGCATCTTTTCCCCCAGACTATAGTATGGAGGATATTCTTCAGAATCCAGCTGGGTGGTTTTGCGACGACCAATGTGGAGAGAACAAAATCAAACACACCTCCGATGTTCGCAAGCATAACAAGAATCGAGAAAACAAATTGTCTATGCTGTTTGGGAGTAAAATCTGGAATACTGTTCACATCCCGTTCGCCCTTCTTGCTCAGCTCCGTCCCGTCCTTCCCTTCAAGGCAGGAGCTGGGTCGAGATGTTCTTTCCTGCACGGGCAGAGGGGCGCAACATCTCTAAGATCAAACGAGCGAACGGGCGGAACACTTCTGCAAGCGCCACGGACTAGGCCACACTTCCATGAATTGGCAAGGACCAAAAGGGAAACAAACTAGTAGTAACAAGAACTACGAACACAAGTGCATCGCTACTAGTAACAAGAGCATTACTACGTACTAGTAACAAGAAGCTACTAGTAGCCAACCGCCACCAGCACAAGCTTTTGGCTGGGTGTTGGAACTGCAGTCTCATGCAACGTCGGTTCCAAGGTCCTTTGACCGGCGACGCAGAGAAATCCTTCGGGAACTCCGAGTCAAAACTGCCTTCTCGGCAGTCACTCTCCTGCTAATTGGGAGCTGCTAGGTACCTTGATCTTGCGTCGACTGTGCTTGACTTTGAGGAGACCAAGCAGCAGCAGGAGGAAAATGAAGGAGCACGAAACCGCTGCCAACAAACCGTTCCTGTATGCCACAGTAGCGCCACCGAGCCCCCCCACGGCAAAGACCATGAAGAGCAAGTGGATAAGGAGGGTCTGCATACAGTCTAGGATATTGCTGGAAAAGCATGGGGCTGCAAACTTGTCACACAGCAAGAAGAGCAGCTCTACGCATGCTGGCAAAAAGATGAAGTTCGCGCTGAAAAGAACTGCAAGTGCGAAGGGCAAGAGGCACTCAAAGGAGCTTCCTCCTCGAATCATCGCCACGAGAAATTCCAGTGACATGTTCAGGTAAGGCACAATCAAGATCATCAAATAGGACAATGGTAGATGGTTGCTGAGAATGGGGCCCATGAGCTCTGCACGTAAAGGTCCCCGCACATACTCATTGAAAGCTGCTTTGCTGCCATACCACTTAATGATCGCTGCGTGGATAAAGCGCCGGTCATCATTGTCGTAGCAATCCACTGTGTCCAGGTCAAATTGCTCAAATTGCTTTAAGAGTTGGTGCTTGCTCAAAAAGCTCCGACCTCAGCGCCGAATCCAAAAACCGAGCCGCTGCTTGGGTTTGGGCGGACTGGGTATGACTTCAAAATAGGGGGACCTCCCAAAGGCCTCCTGGAAGAAGGGAAATAGACCATTGGCTGGGGGTCTCCCTATAAAAAGGCACACCTATTGAAGGTCACCCAACCTGGAAATACCTAGAGTCCTCGGCCTGTGGACATAGTCACTGGCTGATCTCAGCATCTGCTTGACCTGGCCCCTCATGCCTCGCAGAGAAGGGCCCCGAAAGTCGCCTGCCAGGACCTACCACTAGTCGTGAGGGGGGAGTAACTATATAGAGTTCTATATTTTTCTATATGCTCTGCGTTTCTTCAACTGGGAATGAAGTCCTCTAAACCCAGGTGGCAACAAAATGATCTTGGAGATGCAATTAAGAAACAACTAAGCTTTAGACGAAGCAGGTGTGCAGCAATCAGCAGTGGAACAGAAGCAACTAAGAATGCTGGAAGCAAAGACACCATGTGTGAGCTCCTGCTACGAAGCGCCCAATAGCCCACAGCAGTGAAATACTCTCCGAGAAATGTGAAGGCCACATATTGCTCAACGAAGAGTGGTGAGAGATTGACCCGTCCATGGGGATTCCCTTTGCGATACACGGCTAGCTCAAAGACACACCAAGCCCTGGAGAGGTATGGCGGGCTCCACAGAATGCGGAGCTCGTCCGAGACCAATAAAAAGCCTCCAATGCCCAGAATGCCACGCTTCATCTGCGCTTTATCTGTTTGATGGATGCTGGCCACATCAATGAAACAGGTGTCTGGCTTTGTGCTGCAATCTGGCCAGTAGATGGCAGAGAAGAGGCCCAAGACTGGCCCCAAAAAGCCCAGGAGAAGGATCCAAAAACCCATGGGGCAGGTCAGAACACAATTGGTTCCTAGGGTTTCGAAGGAGAGCCTCATGGGAAGGGCTCCCAAAAGACAAAGCAGCAGGGTCACTGCTACCACGAAAAGCCAGCACAAAAGAGCATGCAGCCAACCACAATGAAAAAGCAAAGACAACACCTTCCAGCTTCCATTGGTCCACCAAGTATGTGACAAAAAGACATTCAAACGCTTGACTGGCTTGGACTTGAGATACAAGGCCTGTCGTTCTTCTGGGCTCAAGTTGATGGGGTTGTATCGCCACAGTCTGCCCAATCCCCTCAAAGAGGCCCTCAGCGTCGTGCCACGCAGAATCTCGAGGTCCACGAAGTCCACCGATTGGATGGCCTTTTACATGTCAAATATAAAGACTTTATGAAAACCGAATAGCCATGGCCTCTTACCTACTAGCGATGGCCTCCTGAGCGATAAAAACAGATCCTAGTAGATCCTAATCTAAATAGATCCTTATAGTAACCAACTTAAATAGATCCTAATAGAGATGGCCTCCACCTAAGTGTCTCCATGGCCTCCATCGACCGATCGAGAAGTGTCTCGCTCACAGCTGCATATGCCACCGCGGACAGCCCCACCGGCGACGGAGGTTCCCGGGCATCGCCGGCCACAGAGCCGGTTCCGCTGGAGTCTGGAGGAAAGTCCGGAGCCTGGCCCTCATCCAGTGGGGATTGCTGCAGTTGCTCAAGCCGGGTCTTAAAACACCACTCGCTATGACCCTCTTCTCCAGAACAGCAGCAGATTCTCTCAGTAAACGACATTGGATCGCAAGGCCGCCAATAAGAAAGAATCAGCCCACAAGCCGCACACAAAAATGTTGTATATAGGTTGTCGAAATGTGTGATTGTTTGGTTATATGTCCTAGCAGTCGTCCTATCTTTTGCATGAGTCAAAAAAACCATTCGTGTTTCGTCTCCGGAGGATTGAGCCAATATTTCTCAAGTGCTTCGACGGTCTCTCTCTCTCTCTCTCTCTCTGTCTGTGAACTTGAGGCACATGTAAACGTCATGTCAACGCTGTGTCTTGCTCAGCAAGGTGTGAGTCCAACCAATGGCTTTCAAGGGCTTTCCTGATGACTAAGGCATTTTTTGCAGGGGTGTATTCGTGGCCCTTCTCCATTCAATATCGTGGGGTCCGTAGGTAGGTGCTCTTTAAGAAACACCAGTGCACGAGCGTTCGCTGACTCACTTCCCAGTTCCCACCTTGCGATGCAAGGCAATGGCTACGGGCACCGAAGCTACCGGAAGCAGCCGTGCAGCACGGCTCCACATGGGCACAGCAGCACGGTCTTCGTGAGCTTCGCAGCAAGCTGCGCTACTTTGAGCACTGAAGAAAGAAAGGGCTGGGCGAGGTGCAAACAAGTGCTAAACACCTGAGATCCATCCGAAAAGAAAACCTGCCGGTTCCTTCTGAAAAGTGGCACTACAGGTAGGTGGTTTCTGGAGCTCTAAGACTCGACTGAACACCCAGGTTCACCACCAGATCTCCCAAACCACCCCGCCGTCGACCTCTCCGGCACCGGAGCCTTTCTTCGGCCCACCGGTGGCGCCGTGGGACGCGGCTGGTGACGCCGAACAGCTGCGGAGGGGGACGTGGGCGCGGCCGTCTGAGGCTGTCTGAGGCTGCCGATTTGGCCCTCAACCAGTGACGGGTCTCTGTTTCAGATGGCGAAAAAGCCCGACCATCCAAAGTTCCAATGGAACTAGCGCTTTCCGTTGTTTCCCTTCAAGTAATCAGATCCATCGGTGTTTCCAAACAGAAATGCACGCGTCCCAACATCGGCGTGCTGCTCAACCGATGCACAGCAGTGCTTGACCTTTTCACAGTGCCACGCTCAAGGCTGAATATGGCTGAATTCCTTGATCTGGAGACTCGGACGCCTGCCATTCTACACCTTCGCAGTGCAAATCTATTCGGATTTCTTCATTTCTGAATTCGATTGTTTCTTCACAGTTGTCATGGCCAACCTTGAGGAGATTTAAGATTCTATGACCTGCTGCAAACAGACTTGATCTTGTGAGACGGGCAGAATCTGGTCTACCCCATTCTCCTTGTGAGACAGTGTGAGACAACATTTGCTGTTCACAATGCTCATCGATCCTCACGTACGTTCGGCAAAAAGGACATCGATGTGTCCCACGGTGGCCAATCTGCATCGGTACGGTGTTCAAAAAACTCGAACGAAAACCTCGGACTCCCATGGACTCCCTTGGACTCCATCCCCACAGGGCCCGCACCACTTCGACCTTTGAGATGTGGATCTGCTGATCAACCTCCAGGAAAAAAATACGTCGCGAGGGAAGAAACGAGTCTTGGGTCTTGGTCCGAAGAGAATAACCGTGTATTTGTCTAGGACATTCCATATAGGACGATGTTCTTGGTCCCATTCAAAGGTTTAATAGCTGTGCAGGTGGACGAAGGATTCAAAACCTGAGCTTTGTCACTGTCAAAGCGCCCCCCATGTGGGAGGGTGGGTCGATTGGCCGAAATAAATCAAATCTTGCATGAGCGAAAATAAAAAATGCCAGCGCAACATTGAAACTAGGGAGCAAGAAGGCTGGACAAAGAAAAACCTTGCGGGGTCAATTTGTGGTGTGGGGGCACCAGTAGTCAGTAGTGCAAATGATTGCATTCCCGTAAATGTTGGGGCTCCATGAGTTGGTGTCTTTCAAACACGAAAGTGCAGCGGTCTTGGAGAACGGAACAACTCCACCACCATGACGTCCCGCGGGTCCACAGGTCCACAATCGCGTGTAGACTCATGTTGACTGGTGAAAACCAACCCATTTGGATAGAAGAAACATCTCCATACTTGGGAGGACTTCATCTACATGACATATCATGACATTATAGGGATTAGGTCATTCATCGGCCTCGGCCTCCAGTCCGCGCAGGTCGTACGCCTGACGTGGAAACCGAACCGCCTTTACCTTCTTCGCGTGTCCCTCTCCGCCGCGCCGCACCTCGCTGGTTTTGAAATCTGCCTTCAGGGGCACTCCTGAGTTTGGGCGAACAAATCCTCTGATTGATTGGATCAACAAAAGTGTTCATGCTGTGTTTGGACGAAGCCCTCTGTGTGAAAGGGTGTTCGTTTCTCCCAAGGCTGGAAGAGTTTGCAAGTCTATAGGTCCATGCCCAGCCGATCCAAGAATCCTTGGGTTTTGCTGGGTGATATGGTGTGATCTTCATGCCAAACCGTCAACAAGCGTAATTATATCCCAGTGGATCCAGCTACCACCGTAGCTGGGAACTAGCGGTTACCCCACAACCCTTCACTCGGACACCCTTTCGATCCTCCCTTTCGTGTTTCACCGCGTGTCCGCACTCTGAGGGATCCACCTTTCGATCGCCCATGGAGAATGGAGTGGAAGAGATAAGAGGATGGCTGATCCCTCAGCGCAGAAACGCGCGAAGTTGAGGCACTGAATCAGCGTGAAAGGCGTCGCTCGTGAAAGGCGTCGCTCGTGTACAGCCACGGTCATTCCCAAAAGACCGGATGGCTCCATGCAATGGATCTCCTCCGTGCAGGAAGAATGGTCATCACATGTGATCACGCTTGTTCCGGCCCAAGCGGCCAGTGGTTGTGGAAGAGCCGCAGGGAGACCAGCTTGGTGCTGTGGCCCAGCGGTTCACCAAGACAAGTCAGCGCCTGGGGAGGGAGAGGTTGTGGGATCTAAATCCAGCAAAGTGAAACAAACAGAGCCCATCCAACTAAGTCCTCCGAAACGGGAACAGACTGGATTTTGCGCACCAGCCCTGATATTCATCCAAAAAGGTTCTTCTTAACGTCGGGCTGGCTGCAAACTGCCACTACTCACAAACCAGTGGCGAGAGCGCAAGACCAGCCTGACCACAAAGCTCATTGTGGTTGAGGTCCTTAGGCAGGATTCCAGCCAGTCGGTGTTCATTCTTGCCAGGTGTGGAATACCCGGCATACCCTTTGGAGACAAAATGTTTTGTCGAGAGCAGTGCTCCAAAACGGCTGCACAGACCACATAGCTTGCCCTAAAGATGAAAAAAAGCACGCAATCATGTGCTTCCGCAAAAAGGACAGTAAGTCTTGAATCTGTTCATCATTTTGCTCAAGTCGTTCTGCTCTTCCAAGAGTGATTCTTTCCTCTCCCCGAGTCTCTGGCCAGGTGTTCCAAGTGCCGGTTGTGGCGGAGGCCCTGGCGAATGGCCGTTGTTTGGGCCGGACTTGTTCTGGTGGCCCAGTTTGTTTTTTCATGGACCAAACGATGGATGTCCTGCTTGGTGGGCAGCCAAAAGGAACTGAGAGTACCAAACGATGTCGTTATTACTCCGCTGAGGCTCCTGTCGACAGTTGCTCATTCCGCTGAGGACTTTTGAGTGTTGTTTTTTCTCTGCTCACCAATCAACATTCTCTAAGATGGCCGGCCACCTGACTGTAGAACTATTATTCTTGATGGATTTACTGGTACTGTTTTCCACCAAGTGATGTTAAGCCTCCCAAACAGGGACCTACCTACTGTTTTATATTGACCGCACCAGAAAACCACGGCCGAAAACACACCTCTGCCAAGGCTTTGGCACCATCCACCTGGCGAAGCTTGGGTTTGTATTGGGTTTGTGTCCCCGGAGCCTCCAAGAGCTTTACCACCCAAGGCTTTGGCAAAGTTGGTAGTGTGTACTGACCCACACCGGAATGCACCAAACTTGGCAAAATAGGGCTTCGCGGCAGCGAGTTCCAGTGTTGAGAATCGGATTCGCCTCGTAATGCCTCTAGGTACATCTGCACTGACACCAATTCAGTAGCGCTTTGATTCGAAAGCATGCCGGAGGGCGCATTGTCCTTCTCCCCGATGCGGTTGCAGGAGAGGTTCAACTGAAAAAAATATCGAAAGAGAACGATTGAGCAACCAGAAGGTCCAAAAGAAGTCCTCGCTATCGCCCGCCCAAACAGTAGTATAGGGTTCTGGGACACAAACATTAGCATGGTAGATCAGTAGATCAATGTGGGTCGAATTGAGGCCAGCACGAAGACCAACTGGCTGCCATGTGCCAAGAGGGTCCCTATGCAGTACCTGCCAGCGCGTTTCCACCGCGCAGCGCGCGCGCTGGCGTGCGCGAACAGGTTCAGTGCTGTTAGCGCTACTGACGCCACGGCGCACGCAGAGACGGCGCCCAACTCATTACACCTGGCTGAGGCCATGGACTATCGAGGAACGGAAGAAATTGATAGTGATTGAATAGATGGAGAAAATTGGGCACAAAATTCTTGCAACATTTAAGGGAAAGAGTTTGCAAAATTCTCCCAAGTAATCCAATATGGGCGCGGGTTGAGGCTCAAGACGGAGATGACCAAAAACGAAGTGTCAACATTTCTCGGTGGCTCTTCTTGACGAAGACTTGCCATCGGACCCAACCAGCCTCAGATCCAGGACGCGGAGAACCTCCCAATGTTTGCAGGTGACTCTGATACGGCTTCTGGATGTGATAGGCAATGTCGATGTATTCTGATCTACACACGGTCGATGTCACCACAAAACAGTGTGAGTGGGGTCCCAACCTTCCCAACCCTCCACTTGTCTCCAAAAAGACAAACATTGACAATGAGTTTCATACGGGGTCAGGTTCGATTTCATCTTTGTTGCACTGAGTGCAACGTCCACCAAGCGCTTTTTAGACCTTCGGTGCATCGCAACCTGCTTCAAGTTCAAAGACCACACTGCACAAGCTCCGCTTGGTGCGGCCGGACTTCTCGTGCACTCGGAAGCGGGTGCCAGCTGGCCTCCCAACTTTGCAGGCCTGTGCCGCTGAAGGAAAAATGTTCTGACTAGTTCCATGCCAAAGCTGGAGATGTCGGGGCCACCGAGCTCAAAGAGCACCCTCTTCGTGTGGCGCCTGGCAGGCCTCCCACTCCTCGTAGCCATGCTGGCTCCGAACCACCTGAGCTTGTGTCAAGTTCCGCCGTGAAACTTCTTTACACAACCTGACCTGGAAGGACTTGTGCTGCTCACTGGGATCCAGCACTTGATAGGCCCATGCCAGTGCGCAAACATCCCAGTCTCTCAAACCAGTCAGCGTCCATGGTAAGCCTGCTGTCACTGCCAGCAACTTTTCGTCGATGACACCAAGCTTTGGAAAAAGCGCACAGTACATCGATATAGCAGGGCAACGATGCACCCTGCGGGGAAGAAACTGCAGCACGCAAGAATTTGTCGGACACCTGGTTCAAAATCACTGCGTCATTGCAATCAAGAAGGGACAAAGACCACGCCATGCGCGCTATCCTGGCCAGGGTGCAAGGAAGCACATCAGTTGAGCAGCCAAAGAAACTGGAGTACAAGAAAATTTGACAGAGTGTGTCTGTGTGCACTTGCATTTCTACAATGCTTGCATTTCTTGCACAAGCGATTCTTTCTTCTGCTGCTTTGTTCCAAAACCACCCCGCCCTGACAATGTGTACCGGCTGTCTCTCTCACGATCTTTGCTCACCAGAGAGTCGCGGCACCGGGACAACATTGCAGGCAAAAGCTGCATTCTGTGGCTGGAACTCGAAGCGGGTAGCCGGGCTACAGACCACATAGCATTGCTGAGCTCCTGGATGTTTGTTTCATCTTGAAGAGCAAGGATGCGTTTGGCCAAAAGATCTGACACTCGCTCAGTATCCAAGCTTGATCTCTTACGCTTGGTGCGTACGTGTGGAACGTTGCCACAGACCACAGTGACATGACAGCTTCCTGGCATTTCATTCCATCGGCAGTCGCATCAAGTGACTTGATAGCTGGGGGCAGGAGACCGAGAAACTTCTTTGCTCCCCGAACTTTTGCAGTCACCCACAGTGCATCAAACACGGACCGAGGCGTGACTTTTGGGCTTTCCAAATATTGACAGCAACGATCCATGATGGCAAGTTGATGCCACTTAGTTCATCTAGACTGAGATCTGCTCCTTCTACCCACCTTCAAGACTTCAGCTGCTGACTTGCACTGAACCGTCTCCGATGTCAAAATCTTTTGCTTCGACACCAGTCCCCAGTCTTGGCCAAGCAATCGGCGCTCTTGGAGCATTCTTCTCTTGTGCTCGGGTCTCACATGTCGAGGTAGGCGCCTGTGATCCCATCTGTGCTGGGGGTCAGGGTCAACCATCCAAAGCAGCATCCTAGGCTTGTTACCAGGAGCAAGGACCAGCCGGAACAAATCGGCAAGCACCCCCTGCCTGTGCTTGGCATCACTCCGGGGCGACTAAGGACAAGCAGCATGAGCCAAGACTTGGACGAATTGCCCAGATTCTGCATTGGAAGCATCAAAGAATCTGTTTAATCCGATTCTCCCAATCCCAAATCCCTGACCTCTCAAGAAGAATCACACCAAACATACTAGTATCTAGTAAGGAGCAATGATAGCAAAGAACTGACCAGAGCACAACAGTCGGAGCTCTTCGTCGCCTGGTTCTCCAGCAAGAAATCCACCAGCTGTCGAGCTCCCTCGTCCCGCATCCTGAAGCGGAAACTTCACATCCGCTCGATGGAGTGGGTGTTCCGGCCATCGCGCTGAGTAACCCCGTTCGTAGCGTCCGATCGCTCCGTTCGTAGTAAGGCCAGGAGCCCCGTTCGTAGCGAACCTTGTTACTAGTAGCGATGCCTAGATGATCTTAGATTCGGGATTCCCAGATTTACAGTAGGGCATTAGGGTACGAAAATTTGTCAGCTTCTTGTGAAAACACATCAGCACATTAACAAATCTGGGACGTACAGTATATGATGTGTGTTTATATTGTTTAACCTATGTACAATACAAACGCTAAGCCGCTAATTGACTTTCAGAACTGGGGTCGTTCTTCTTGCTCATTGCGCAGCTCATCCTGATGCAACTCACAGCTCACACCGCCCTCGCGTCTCTGTGTCTTGGTGTGGAGTCCTCTGCTTCCCCAGATAGAGCTCCGTGATGCTAGTGTTGTTGCGCAACATCTTCCCCAGGTGCACCGTATGCTCCTCCTGAAGGACTGGGTGGCATGCTCGGGCGGTTTCGCTGGTTTGGAAGACCTGGTGAGCGAAGAGGAGGGAAGTCTTGCTAGGGACATTCTCTGAGGCATCAGCTGCACCAATTGATGTAGCTGTGGTTACATCAACGGAACAACAGTCTTGATTCCAAAAGCAAAGGAAGGGTGTGTCCTAGTGGTGGCTCTGGAAAAATTGAGTGTATCAAGTAGCTCACGAAAAAGAACAAAAACATTCATGCACTGCGCTTGTGCTCTGTCTTCACAGCTGCTGAAGCGGTCTTTTCTTTCTGGGCAGCGCCAATCGGAGCATCATCAGAACAACACCAACTATGAGCCCCACCTTCTTCAAGGATTGCAAAAACCATGGTCAAACATGGTCAAACCATCCCATTCTCTCCTGCACCTTCCAGCCCCTTAGGCCTCAAGCCGCCTTCATGCCTTCTCTTTTGGCCAAGCGCTTCTCACACCGGCTCTTTGCCACACCGGGTACACTCTTCCCGCGACGAAAAAAAGGTCCTGCAAGGTGAAGATGCGGGGGTTCTGCACGTCCAGCACCTCGGGCTTCAGCGGCTTCGGCTCGTCAGAGCTGTTTCTTTGGGTCCGGATGTTGCAATGGTACCTCACCTCCACAATACCTCTTACGATACGTATGTTGTCCTGCGGAACATGGGGCTTCACCAGTGGTGCATGATTCTGGATTTCATCCGGTCAGGTGGAAACACTGATGAAGACGCGTGGGAAGAGAAAAAAGACAACCACATCCAATGGTAGCCAGGGTCTCTTACTCATGTTTTCCCCAAGTCTGGCTTGAAGGGCTGCCTACTGCACGTGCGCAAGTTCGAGAATGATCCGCTGGTTGCTCAGTTCCGCTTCGGATGAGTCTCGGATGCCACCGCCTCTATCTGCCCGGGCCACCGGGCTGCCAGCTTGGAAGGATGTCTCCGCAAGACGGCAGCCAGGGACACCAGAACATCCTCGGTTTCGTTTGTGGGACGACATGAGCGGCTTGCCGCCGGCACCGGACCTGCGTCCAGTGAGATGCACCAGAGACAAGGAGAAAGATCTCTGCATCACGCTACTGGGTATCAATAAACCATCCGAACAAAAGCATCAAGGTTTAGACAAAGTGTGCAAAACCCAGCCCCTACTGACACTACGGTGTAGCACACTGCAAACAAGGTGTTGCTTTCTACTCATCCAACACGTCCAACGTTGGACTTCGCCCTCCCAACCGCATCCGTTCTCCGCCCTTCGGATCCCTTCGCTCGAGCATCAATGTCCGCTTCCGTGTCACCCATGAAGAGCTGACGGGTTCCAGCCGTGGCGACGGTCGAAGCCCCGCGGGTAGAACATGGGAGTCGGCTAGTCCACGTGGGTGTTCTTCTGAACGGCATTCAGCGACTGTAGAAGAGTGGCGTTGAATGGACAAACAAAAAATCATCAAAAATCAACTGAGGGTCTCTTGCTCTAAGCGTGTGTGTACCCGCAAATATGGTTGGTCGTGGTTTGTGTCAAAGGAGGCATCGGACAGCATGAAAATCCACAAAACAGCCAACATCAAAGTCAGGCCAACCTGGTCAGCTCAAGAGCCGATCCTTCCAAAAAGGTCAAAAAAAACGCCCTAACTGGTGCAAAAACACCGAACACGCGCCCAAGCAGAAAGAACACATAAGAAAACCGAACGGCCCCCCTTTGGTTCGCTGCAAACGACCGGGGGTCGTTCGCCTCCAAGAGTTCCGGTGAGTGTTGGAGGAAGGACACCAGCCTGGCATCGGCCACCGACCGTCGGCGTCGGCGTCTCGACGTTGTCTTTTTCGATGCCGGGGGATGATGTATGGAAAGGAGAGGTGAACCAGGCATAATACCAGGGTTCATGCTGAGTGGGGTAACCAGTCTGCCGAAAGAAAAAAGGATTAAAAGGTAAAGGGGGGGGTACTGTGAAGGGTGGAGCAGCTCCTAGTGCCAAGGAGGCATGCGCGAACGACCAGGCCCACGCTCGGACTCCAAGACAGGCGAGCTTGGCACGAGGCCGCCCTCCTTGCCGAGCCTCAGGATCGCGAGGTGTCATCGCTGGTTGGGTCATTTTTGGGGGGGACATGAAGCACTCATGAAGCAGTTGTTCAGTTCGGGATTCCCAGTTCGTCTGGTTTCCAGGACGATCCGTGACGGTGTTCCTTGATCTAAAAGGCCGCCCTCCATGCCGCGACGATCCGGACCGGCGGCTCTTGTTTTGGCGCTCTTCACATTGCAGCATTCATTCAGCCTTGGTGCTGTTGCCTTTCTTGCTGGCCACCTTGCGAATGCCTTTCACCACCCACTTTCCCAGCTTCCACACCAACTTGAACGGAAGGATGATGTACCTCCCAGTGCAAATCAAGCCCTTTTTGACGGCACTCCACTTGGACATCCCCTTCTCAGCAACTTCACCGCCTTCACCTGTCTGATTCTCAGTCTTGCCATCCTTCTTGTCAACGGCGTCCTCCTTCTTTTCAGCCTCCTCAGGAGCCTCGATCTGCTTATTTTCGCCCTGATACCGCCCCGCGTAGTAGACACCGCAGCCGAAGGCCGACAAGAAGGCGTAGGCCATCAAGGCCGCGAAGACCACCTGAGAGATAATCGCCGAAATCACGATCGTCGCGCCGACGGCGACCACTGCCAAGAGCACCGCAGCGATCATCTGTCCATCCACCGAGGACATCACCTCCAATGCGGAGGTGCCATCACTGCTGGAAGGGATGGGGTCCAACCCGAGAAGCTCTTCATTGACCTCTTCTTGAGCTTCGCTCAAGTCCTTTTCCTCTTCACCGACCTAAGGGCGCTGCTCCGCGGTTTCGAGGAAGCCAAGGCCCTAGCACGAGTCAAAGCCTCTATTTGGGTCTATGTTAAAATAGGGAGACCCTGTTCAACCCTCTGAAAGAAGGGAAATAGATCATGGTTGGAGGTCTCCTTATTGAAATACACACCCATTTAGAGGGTGGGAGAAATCCACTGGCGGCCACTGGCGCAGACGAGTCTCCATATCACCCGAGGTATCGTCCTGAGTTGTTGTCTCCTCGAGTTGGTCGGGCTCAAAGGCCTGCGTAGCTTCGATGATGTTCTTGGCTTCATCATGCTCCGCCTGGCGCAGCGCAAAGCGCTGGATTCTTCCAGGGTGGAGGCCATCGCTGGTACTAGGGTGGAGGCCATCGCTACTAGGCAAAAAAGAGAGAGAGAGAGAGAGAAACTGGCGCCGATTGTAGCCAATCATAGAGGTTTGTTGGGTCATGGGTTTGTACGTACTAGGATGTTGCAGGGTTTCATCTTCAAACCAACCTCTGCCTTGCTGCCCTGGGTCAGCTTGGTGATGAGGTCAACCATTTTCTTCACAGTGCCTTCGGGATTCTCTTTCAAAGCATCCGAATCCAAGATCTTGTCTTTCAGCTTCCCAACCAAGGCGCCATCCTGCAGAACTGGCACCTGAAAATCCTCAACCCCCCTGCCAAACCCTACACTCTACGACATGAGAAGTGTACTGATTCTCTTCCGAAAACCGAGTTGCTCCGCGCATGTGAAGCCTGCTTGTCACTTCAAACGCAGAAAACCTCGTCCTCACCAAAGGTCTCGGCCATGTTGGACAAGCTGCTCGTGAACGAATCCTGCAGAGCCTTTTGCTCCTGCCCGCACCCGTGGCTTCACAGCCGCGGCCACCGATGTCCGTCGACGTCGGTTGACCGAAGGCGGCCCAGGTCGAGTTCCTTTCGCGTCGGTGTCCCGTTTCGAAGCGAAAAGGAGTTGTTCACACGTTTCACGCAATCAAGTTCCATCAGACACTTGTCCTCTGCTTGTGGCTTCTCGTTGAGCTCATCTTTGGCTAAAGCCATGAAGCGCACCGCGTTGACCATATGCTGCAAACGGCGTTTGCACTTGAGATTCCATCCAGAGAATCGTCCTGGCGCACTTGTTGCGAGGTCCACAAAAAGTACTAAACAAATTGCCAGATCTTTGCGCGCGCTGTGTGTGTGTCTGTGTGTGCGTCACACTGTGTCCCGAAGAGTTTTTTGTTAAGTGCAGGGGCGTGTGGCACTCTCGCCCTACCACACGCAACGAAGCTGTGGGCGAGAGTGGGAAGCAGGGCCTGATCAGTCCTGTGTACCTGCAAGTGACAACACTCTACTGTTCCCCGTTGTTCCTTGTTTTCATGGTGGTTCTTCACGCCATTTCCCTAAACAGGTTTCCCTACGCAGCGTTCTGCCGCTCGTGAGTCGCCTGACTTACCGCAGATGTCAACGCTTCAAGTGAGCTGACCTTCTCGCCTGAAATCACTGCAAACCCATTGTCTAAGTGTGCGCCGCTCTGTTGTCCCACTGGGTGCAGAGTGAGCTCCTCTCACAAGAGAGGCGCTGAAGCCACTCCGGACTACCGTGTTTCTGACTCGAAGTG